TCCGAAGTAGAGGTCATCCCAATTGAAAGATGGAATGCATGGAGAATGATGCATGTGATACTATAACATGTATGTTCTTATTTTGCAAAAATTTTCAATCAAATTGAAAACAAGTAAGGAATAACTTGTTACCTTAAGTCCTTAGCACCTTAGAGACTTTTAATTTCAAGAAAAATTAAACAAAAGAGTATCCACACTGAGGTAAAAGAATAATTAGGCCAAAAGAGACATTTAGGGTTCTTAGAAATTTTTTGGTCTCTGTCTTAAAATTGGTATATCATTTTCTTTATATATGTAGCCTTGTAAACAATTCAATAATTGTTTTGGACTTCCTTAAACAATTCCATAATTGTTTTGGAGTTGTAAATAATTCCATAATTATTATAAAGTTATTAAACTTCTTTAAATAATAACATTGGATTAACATTTAGTCACAATTAACAATTTAACTCTTAAATTATTTACATAACAATTTAAACCTTAAATTGTTCATATGTTTACAATTACAACCCATTACTAAATTCAATTTAATATAAAAAAAAATGATTAATTATGAATTGGAATTCCATTTAATTCCAATTAGCAATTTAACTCTTAAATTATTCATAATAACTAATATAACCCTCCATTGAACATAATTCAATGATAATAATATAAATAACATTATTACCCTTGGTAGGTGCTAGCTAACCTTGGATAATCAACTCTTTTTGGTTATTTCTCCATTCTCCTTAGTTTTTATGTGTAACCTCTTAGGTTCACTGTGGCCTAGCTGGGGGCCCAATATCATAGTCTATTCCGATATGTTTTGTCATAACTCTTTATGAACAAAACTCCTACCGATTATGGTAGGCATCTAGCAATGCTCCATAACCCCTAAGTCACAATGAAGAATATACTCCAATGAACTTTTTTATAATCATACGCACTGTATAATCATATCATTCCGTTGTCTAATCCCAATTAAGAATGGATTCATTATGTCAAAATCCTTATCTTAATTTTATATCAAATTGACAATCAATACATATGGAACGTGTCACCATAAAACAATGTTTCCAGTCACATTTTATATACCCCGGTCGAAGATTTCCCTTTTCCAATTTATCTTGACATTTGTCTAGGAACTTGATATTAATCTATACCAAGTCAACAGATCTCATCTTGACTATCACTTGTCCTCACACATAAACAACACATGATTAAATCGGCTTATTAACATATGACATGATTAGCCTCATGTTTATACACCATATGAACCATATGCGTTTATGCAGAATCCAACCGTGTATCTCAGGTCTAAGGATTAATAATACACTAGTATGATCTTATGATGAATCATTGACTATATTTTAAATGTCCATGTGATTCATCATAAATAGTCATATTCGAAAAACAGTTCACTAACCGCTTATCCATGCTAATGCCCTTGTGATATAACTTTTATAATCACCCACACTACTACCATCATATGATATTCTACAGAGGCATTTAGCATGCCTACTATATAATATTATTGCCCAATTAATATTACCTATGTAGGGAATACTTTGATGATTTTGATATTCTAAAGATTTGTATCATTCGGACATTTAACATGTAATACTTATATATAAATGAAGCAATAAACCACATGTGAAATAATAACACTTTCTTCTATTAATAAGATAAAAATGTATATATAAAATATATACATTAACATATATATAAAACATAATACCTTGGAACCGACAACACGATTGGTTCCTAAGACATACATTAACAAAACTCCCACTTGCACTACAGCCAATCGTTGTGGTATCTAATACCCATCTTCTCAAGATGATGATCTAATTGCTTATGTGTCATTACTTTAGTAAGTGGGTCAGCTACATTATCCGCTGAAGGTGTTTTCTGCACCAAAATTTCTCCAGCTTCAACAAGTTTCTCAAAATATGATATTTACGCTGAATATGTTTTGATTTTTGGTGTGCTCTTGGTTCCTTTGCTTGTGCAATAGCACCATTATTGTCGCAAAACAAGGTTATCAGATGACTCATGACCGGTATTCGCTGGCCCCTTAGAGCCCTTTGGCCCATTATCAACCACCTGCTTCCTATTATCTTTACGCACTATAGTGCGCGCGGCATCGGCTTTCGCACGTTTTCGTGCCTTAGCATGACCTATAAGCGTCTTCAACGACAGCACCGCTTTATCAGAATTGGGCGATACGACCTGATCCAAATGATCTAGCCTTCGGCTGTCCGTTTGGATAGTATTGTTGAACCTTTCTAGGAAATTCATCACAGTTGGGTCGAGCTGTGAGCTCAAGGGAAAATCTGCCACTGTACCTTGTGGAATCGGAGGTACTTCAAGAGAAGTATCATCCTATACCCAGGGGATCTCCTTTTTGTTGGTGCTAGCTTGTTCGGCTTCAAGACCACGAGCCATTTGTTCGTGAATAGAACTGGTTGATCAGAGATTCCTGATGAAGAGCGGATACTAAATCAGGCCCTCCTTCTAGCACCAAACTATTAATGCTTGATTTTGACACCAACGACTCACACGTGCAAAGTGCTAAGCTGTTCTTAGAAATTACACGTGAATGATTGCAGATAATCTAATGCAAAGAATGAATAATAAATGAAAGACGATTTTTAAAGTGGTTCGGATGCTTAAACAAGTCCTACGTCTACTGTTCTTTTATATATGAGAGATTACAAGAGGTCCCATATAGCGAACAATGAGCAGAGATACAATAACTGATTATTCATATAGAATATCAAGTCAATCTCTTTCTTGTAGGTTATCTTTGCTCTGAGAATATAGATTACAATCAAAATGTGAGTTTTTTTGTCTCAAAATCCCAAAATGAGAGGGGGAGTCCTCTATTTGTAATAGAAGAATTCAAGGTAATGATTACAAATCTACAAATGGGTAGGTGCCGTGCAAGTCCTTCCTTACCTTCCATTGGCTGATAACTTAGGATATATCCTCAAATTACCTAGGGCTTGGACAGGTGTGTGGCTCCCATTCAGTCATAGACAAAACCTGAATCTGACAAGTTGGTAACAACTGTATTCTTTCTGTCATGGGATAATGTGACAGCTCTTGGACAACGCAACACCTTCCTGAACTCTGATTGAAGCTAGCTGATGTAAGCTTACATCAGCCTTGATTTTTTAGGCATATATTCTTTAACCCATTTTTTCATGTATTTTGAATGAATTATTTTCAACTGCCATTAACATAAGCTACATCCATAGTGTTTCCCCAATTCCCATGCGTTTATTTATTTATTTTTGTTTGCTACTAATTACATCTATTGCAAACTTTAATTTTTTATTTTATTTTATCTAATAATCATAAAAACAAAAAAAAACAAAAAACAAAAAAAAAATTGTATATTGATCTAGCCAGTTTTAATTACGAGTATCCCATTTTCAAAACAATAAAATATTGGAGGAAACTATATAATTACTAACAAATAGATAAAACTTAACTTTATTGTTTTATTGAATTGAAATATTTAAAAGTTTAGCTAATAATATTATTTATATTAAATAGAATTTATTATTTTTATGATTAAAAAACAATTAGTTAATGAGAGTATTAGACTTGTACTATTATTCTCTATTTTGGTCATTTGGCTGATATTCTTTTGTGTCTGATTATCTTATGTTTTTTCGGTACTTTTCACGGGTTTCATAAAAAAGTAAAGGTTAGTTTATATTTTCTACCCCTAGTTTCGCCTTCACTCACCCAAAATGATGAGGCACTTGATACCCTAAACCAATTTCATAAAGTTTGATATTGAAATGATGCAATAATCAATAAAAGAAGGAAAAGAGAGGTCACAGAAAACAGAAAGAAGCATAAGAGGAGCTTTAAGATCCATGATGCTTAATGTCATACGCTTGAGTCAATTTCATTGAGTTTGTTGTAGGAAATGTTTTTAACCAATGTTTTGTCACTTTGTGTGTATTTATATAATTCAACTCTTTTTGGTTGCCCTCATATTAAAAAAAAAAAAAAAAAAAACAAATTCATAATTATAGATAAATAGTCGTGATGATGGGAGAGATTTAGTTAAGAGTGATGTTATTTGTCCCCCACATTTTATCTGATTTGACCCCACTAATTGAAGAAACCCCATTAAAACTATCCTTAATGCGTTTTGGCATGTCTTGACTTAGCTTTACGTGAAACTGACGATATCAAATTCAAGACTCCGTGATTTTCTCACAATTTTCCAACGAAGTTTGTTATCAAGGGATTGTGCTTATCTCATGAAGTCACCTTCCAATATTAGATATTTTGTCAATCAATGTCATCTACATATAAGTGATCAAAATTCATTGAAGTTACCCTTTCTAATATTAGATATTTTGTCATTTTTACTTAGAGGATTGAAGAAAAAGAATATAGAATGCTTTGTAATTATAGATTGTAATACTTTGACAACATTGAAAGTGGTGTGCTACCTTTGTCTCAAAATGGAATAGAGATTTATAATTGTGGGAAACTGAAATCAGGGTTGCCGAAATCTCATATCTATTTCACACCTAGGCAGCCTCGAAGATTTAGGCTCCGTTTGGTACATATATCGGAAAAATTATTCTAGTTTTCCCAATAAAATTAACACAAAATTTGTGTTTGGTTCACCTATTTTCAAAATATAATTCTAAATTATTCAGTTCATTTTAAACCCCTTAAATTTATTAATTTAACTAAACAACCCCAATTTTTTTTTTAAATTAACAAAAACACCCCAACAACCCAAATTTACCAGATTCTGGCCACCATCATCGGAAACTGGTCAAAATCTGGTGTAAGGGTGCACTATCGGCTGAATCAGGCCGGTAGTGTGCCGATCTAGCATTTTCCAGCCAGATCCATGATGAATCTGACTGGAAAAGGCTAGATCTACAGCCAAAGATCTGTATTTCAACTCCAATTTTTCTTATTTAAAAAATTACTGAAAATGTCCACCCACCCAGTGCTTAATAAAAGTTCTAATTGAGCATAACTCTGTTTTGGAATAAATACAACGCATATTGGAGCAGAGTGATAACATAACATAGAAGAACAAAAATGCATAATGAATACTTCACCTTCACTCATACTATCTAGGATATAGCTCGGTAATTGAAACCTCATTTTGTGATAATGGGACTCCTTCAATTCGGTGTCGATTCAAGTTACTTGACCCAGAACGCTCTAAAGATGATGATGTGGTCACTGGTTTTGATGAACTATGCATATAGAATCCAGGTTTTGAAGGCGCTGGGAGATTGACAAAGTCGGTGTTAAGCATGAAAACAACTGAACCCATGGTTGGTCTGTCAGATGCACTTTCCTGAACACATAATAACGCAATGTGGATGCATTTTATCATTTCTGTTGTTGGACTATCCCTCATAGTAGGATCTATTAGATTTACAGTCGATTCTTCATTCCAACTTTTCCATGCCTGTAAATTTATAACAAAATTCACCATCAAATTTGGAAGGGAAATTTTATATTATATAAGAGAAATGGAGCTATATTATTTTACACTTACATAAGTTAGAAGGTCGTCTGATTCGTCTTTGCTTCCAAAACCACTTCTCTTCTGACCACTTACAATTTCTAAAAGTAGAACACCAAAGCTATAGACATCAGACTTAACTGAGAATCGCCCATACTTTATATACTCTGGAGCCATATACCCACTGCATATAATCATCAAGAAAACCAGTTTTGTTTCTCGTTATTAAAATGATAGTGCTTTTCATTTTCCTCTTAGAATATGGAGACATAATTTTTTTTTTTTTTTAATTGTTCTTATTAACCTATATATAGCATTTTGTCATCACACTTTTGAACATGAATTTCTTCCATATGTAAATAATTAAGCTTTATTTATACTTACAAGGTTCCTACGACTTGATTTGTATCACTTTGACTTTCATCTACTTCAAACAATTTTGCCATCCCAAAATCGGAAATTTTCGGATTCATGTCTAAATCTAACAAAATGTTACTTGCTTTGAGATCACGGTGAATAATTCGAAGTCTAGAGTCTTCATGGAGATAGAGTAGCCCTCGAGAAATGCCCCCTATGATCTTGTAACGCCTTTCCCAGTCCATATATTCACATTTGATTGGATCTACAATTTGCAACATTATAGGATTTGAAATTGAAAACTAGAGTACTTAGCAAAAGCAGGTACACAAAGCTTGAATAACTAGTTCAAGCTTTCGTCATAATCATATGTGCATAGGTATATTCATCGAACATCAGTAAATTACCAAGGATCCGTTTGTTTCAATATTTTCCCCTATCATTTCCAAAATATACATTTGTTTTCTTATTCTAAAAATAATATTATATTTTATCCAATTTATTTTTAAATCCCGTAAATTTGTTAATTTAACTAAACACCCCCCCAAAAAAAGTTTAGAAACTGACAAAAACACCCCACCACCCACATTTGCCTGATTTTGGCCACCACCGCTAGAAGGTGGCCAGAATCTAGTATAATATCACACTATCAGCTGGATCTAGCCTGTAGTACGCTGATATAGCCTTTTCCGGCTAGATCTACTGCCAAAGATCTAGCCGTTGACGACCAAATCTTTGGCAGTAGCTAGTCGTCAACGACAGCCATATCTTTGGCTGTTGCCGTCGTTGACGACCAATTGCAGCCAGATCTAGCCGTAAATCTAGCCTTTTTTGGCCAGATCCATGGTAGATCTGGTTGGAAAAGGTCATCTCGGTGCATGACCAGCCATATCCAGTCGGTCAGTGTGCCGCTACGGCGACTCCAGCCACCCTTCGGCGGTGGTGGTCAACTATCGATATTTAATGTGTGGGTGGATGTGTTTTTGTAATTTTTAATGTTTTTATTATAGCGGTGTTGAGTAAATTAACAAACGTAAGGGGTGTTTTTGGGTAATCTTTGTTAGGCATTCTTCCTAAATGAGATCACAAAGTAGAATCATACCGAATATGAACTGATCGAGACTTGAATTAGGCACAAATTCGTAGACGAGAATCCTTTCTTTTCCTTCCAAGCAAAATCCCAAGAGCCTAACCAAATTTCTGTGCTGAAGTTTGGCAACTAGTAGGACGTCGTTCTTAAATTCTGCTTCTCCTTGTTTAGAATTCTTAGACAGTCTCTTGACAGCTACTTGTTGTCCATTGGAAAGCGTGCCCTGGCATATCAAGAAAATGTGAAAGCTTGTCTTCGAAGGTTTGAATTTAACACCTTGTTAAATTGAAATTTCTTACCTTGTATACCACACCAAATCCACCTTGTCCAAGCTTATTATCATCAGAGAAGTTATCTGTGGCAATCTGGATGGTGCCAAAGTCGAACTGCAAGGACTCTGTATCTTTTATTTCTTCCACATCTCCATGAGATCAAGTAGTAAGCAACAACAAAACAACAATAGTTTAGTCTTATTCATGAGCTACTTCTCTGGTGCTTTTATAATATCGGTAAATTTTTACTTACTAAAACATCTCATTTGAAATCAGAATTCAGGAGTTATCCCCACCAGTTTTTCAAAAGTGGAAATCTATATTACTCAAGTTCAAGAAAAAAAACTTCCATTAAATCAGAACAGAGCCTAAGTCTTCTGAATAAGTAGAACAGAAACACCTAAGTCTTCTGAATAAGTAGAACAGAAACAAAACTAACTTACTTTCATTTTTCTCCTTCCGTTTCCTCCATCTTAAAAGGATGATGATGCCTATGATTAGTATCACAGATGTAACGACCGAAACAACCACTATAATGATGATAATATAATTATTCTTTCCTGCAGCATCCAAGAACTTTGTTCAGATTAAAACTTGTTGCAAAGTTAGATATCTCTATCTACTGAAGACAGTGAAAGAACTTTATTGTAAAGGTAATTCGTATCTATAGTGATTACCTTTCTGAGTTGTGGTATTGGTTGATGGTGTAGGAGGGGAGACTGGAGGTCCTGCAATTGAAGACTCGTAGAATTCGTTTGTCTCGTATCTAAAACTACAGCTTGGGGTAATTACTCTTCCACCTTGCCTTGTATCACAACAATTTGGCAAAAGTTTATTAGCATCAATGAGGCACTCATTGCATTTACTTTCGGTTAAGTCAGGAGTACACTGGACAAGTCCATATAATGTTACAATAGTTGAAACAGCTTCTTCTCCAGCAGCATACTTGTTAGAACCCCCAGCTGTAGCCTGACTTATTAGCCTCTGCAACAAGCTCTGCCGTGTCTGATTGAACTCTTCCACATTTTCTGTAATGTTACTTAGTGAATACACAAAAAAATAAGGAGCGTTTTCCATTACGCCTATCATGTCATAGTATGCATAACGTAACATACAGTTGGTATAGTTGTAATCATCATATCCGCCGATCGCCATCCTAAAGTTGGGACAGAGAGATGCCAGGTTCCGAGTCGCGACAGTTACGCAATCGCGACAAGTGTCCGGATCCATGTCTGGTCTGCAGATTGCACTTCCATAAACTTTGTCAGGATTTTTCCCATAAGAGGAATGGTAAAATCCATTGTATATGGGGGTAGTGTTGGTGAGGGAATTTAGAAGGTGATTGAGGTTTGCCTTGTAAGTACTATTGGTGGTATAATTACCATTGTTGACATAACAGTCATGGTACAGAGATTGTAGCTCATCGGCAACGGTGAGATCAAAATAGTAAATGAAATATAGAGAAAGAAAGAAACGCAGTCTAGAGGAAGCCATAATTTTAATGTCTGACCTGTGCTCAACTGGTTTGGTGCATTGTATGAATTCATTACAGACCGATTGAACACGAATGCTGACATGACACGATTGACGTCTTGTGAAGTTCCTATCTAAAAGCACGTTATCATGAAAAATCAAAGAGAAATATAATTTTATAAGATAAAGAAAATTATACTTTATTTAATATTTGTTTGAGCTATTTGTCATGACTAGTGTCACTGTCACCTAGTATTAAGATATAGACAGAACACATCCAACCTCCAATTTTGACCCAACATTATAGAGAAAAAAGAGATAATACCGAAATGCAATTCCACAAACTTGTTGAAGACCGAAGGAAGTGAAGGCGTACATAGTTTATATATATATATATATATTTATACATATTTGTTTTTGGATTAAACTATTGTAACACAAATTTTTTATCCAGATTTGTAATAAAAATTTGTGATCATTGATTTAAGATAATTCAATGGCTTAAAAATTGCTTAATTGGAATTAAGAAATAATTAACCTCAACTTCTTATCTAAATCCGTTGGATTATATTAAATCAAAGACTATAAATTTATGTTTCACCCCTCAACTAATCCCTCGTACCTTTGAAGTTGACGATCGGATAAGTCTCTTAGTGATCACCTCTATTAGTGTTAATAGGGACTTGAACTCAAGAACTCATATAACTTTTTTTGCTTTTTTACTATCAAACTACCTGATGGTGGTTTATATTTAAGTTCTCAAACATTTAGGGCTCATATTGAAGCAATAAGTCGTAATTAAGTTATATAATAATTAATGTAAATATAATTAGAGGCCATTAATAATCATAATTAACATTACTTAATTATTGATTATTGCTGCTTATAATTCGTACACTAATCCTACTGTACAAATCAAGCAAACAATCTGAGGTTCAAGTCAATTAAACGCCATTTTCCACATTATAATCAAGTCAGCACTTAAGTATCAATTGCATATAAATTAAAGAAAAAAATTGAAATATATTTTATCCAGAAGAACTAGTTTCTGGGAGCCGATTTTGACTAATTCAGTTGTTTCATTATCAATCAAATTTCCACTGATTAGAAGATAAAAGTTTGGTGAATATTAGTCGCGATGATAAAACGACAAGGGTATGTTTGACTAGTACATGAAAATTAAATAAATGAAAAAAATATATCAACTATGTTTGGTTTATATGATATGTTTATTAACCATAGAATGTTGTTGTCACGATTTTACGTAACAATTAGCGAAACCCAATTGACTTTGGTGGAATCGGATTGGATGTGCGCTTGATTAATTAAAATCAACAAAGAATAACAAATAAAGGACACGAACAATTTTAAAGTGGTTTAACAAGTTCAAAATTAAGCCTACATCCATTGTTATCTTATTAATGCTTTGAGTACAAAAATAAATCTAATCTCTCTAGAATTGTTAACCCTTTACAATGAGTTTTTTAGAGGTATTTATACAATAATTTGATAATGGTTCTTTGAGGGATTTCAGAGATTGTGGCTTATCATAGGAACTTAATCCCATGATTAGCCAATCACATTAATTCAGAAATTACATGATCTGATATCAAATTTATCTCATTGATTCTTGGGAATAAAGCTTATTCGTAACCTGTGAGACAACTATCCATTTAGCTCATCCCGTTGAGCTTTGCGTTCTCCGAGCTATCATTAAGTCCAAGCTTGCTAAAAACGCTTGCACAACAAATGTTAAATGTATATTCCTGTTTTTAAAAATATTTATTTATTTTAAGAACAACACACGATTAGTTATATGATAATAATTATTATTTTTCGTAATTTCAAGTGAAAATATATGTGATAATATTTTAATAAATGAATATATACATTTAATTTGTGGTGCATATATTGCATTAACATGAATATGCTGTGTTTTCGGTGTGAAAGAAAGACTCAGTTGTTCAATATCTCAATCAAATTTCCGCATTGACTAGATTTTTAGTCAAATATTTTATTTCTTTAAAGGTTTAAATGTTTTTTAGTTTATAAGAAATACCTTATAAGATTCGGGGTTTATGTAATCATTTATTTCCTTTTAAATTTATAGTTTAAATTAAGAAAATAAAAATATTAATTTAAGGAATTTCGGTCCAGTAAACCAGGCTAGACAGCGATGAAAATTGTCTTTATTCTTAGGGAATCTCCTACCGATCCCTGTGTAATAAAATCAGAGAATAAGGTTGCCTAATTAAAATAGATAAATAATTCAATAATTATGTCTATTATATTGTTAATTAATTAATTGAAGAACTATATAATTAGATTGTCTTAATTCCCTCACCTACTAAAGTATTCAAAATGTTCATATAAACATTCAATCAAATGTTTGAAATGAATTGTATCTTTAAATCAGCCATCCGCTATTAGTACCTACGTGTATTGGATATTTTATCAAGTGAAATTTTTGATTAGTTGCAACGCTCACTTTCCTTTAATTAGTTGTAGCATGCTGAAAAGTACTTCAAAGTTGTGGCAAATTAAATCATTTATGTGACATCACATATCCTATTGTAAAAGGCCTTTTTCTTTGTAGTGCCTTATAAAATCGTTTAATTTGAAGGGATTTATTGTAAATTAAAGAACCTAGACGTTCTTTAAAAATATAAAAATTCTGAGAAATCAGAATTTTAAAAGACGTAAAAAATATTGTAATTGATGAATAGTATATTTTCATTGAGTTGGAGCTTTCTGAAATTCAGTGATAAAGACTTGGCCGAACGACTTCCATCTATCCAAAGTTTGGTATAAAGACAGATTGACACCCAAAAGGTTTAGAAATGACAAACAAATATTTTTTGTCATATTCTGTTAAAGATTTTTTGTCTGCTAAAAGACAGTATAGTAATTTCATTCTCACCCCAAGCCCGTTTGCACAACTCTCTTGCGTCATTGATCGATTTTTTGACAGGATTTAGCATTTTTCTGCAAAGTTCAGTGATAAACAGTAGAACTACCCCTTACTAGCGTGCGTTGGGAATAGAGATCGGTAGGTATTTCAATCTTTTCACTATTTTTGTTTTTTAACAGATATAAAATCTTAACAGAACATGACAAAAAATTGGTATTTATCATTTCCAAACCTTTTGGATACCATTTTATCTTTACATCAAACTTTGGTTACGTTCCCCTAAAGACTTATGCTTTTGCTGCCTCGAATAGTGAAATGATTTTGGGAGTTTTAGAGTAATTCTTTAAAATATTTTTCTTGGGTTTTTTGTAAAAAGAGTTTTCACGCTCATTAAAATTGAAATGTCTAATTAGAGTCCACCCAAGTGGGCCTAATTGAAATAGACATTTCAATTCTAATGATTCCTATTGGACTTTCTTACCTGCCAGTGCTGCCACACCATAATCCGCCAAATAAATGTCCTAGTGCAGTGGCTTGGGTCCACTCGGCCTTTGGACAGTGAAAGAAATACTTATTATTGTTTTGCCTTAACGAGTCGTTGTAGGTCGTCGTTTGTGAAATATGTCGAATCCTTAAGGCAAGATTGTCTTTGTGAGAAATGAGTGAGCCTTGTGAGAGAGTATGTCCTCAAATCTTTGATTAGAGTGTGGTGTGGTCGGCTTATGTTAGAGAATATCATGAGCTTATCTTTGAGAGGGTCGAAGTTATGGATTTACTCTGAAAGTGTCGTAGGTTTACATTAGAAAACATGATGAACTTTATTAAGGTCCCAAGAAACAGTCATTTGGGCCTAAAATGGAGCCTTGGACCTTGATTTGCGCAGCAACATGGGTGCCATTAGTTCCATCCAGCTGCAACCCTTTAATGGGTTTCATTGAGCGGTCATCAACATCAACACTATGATATGGCGGGACTGTCCCATGTAAGTTTACATACACCAAGCATTGTGATTTAATATAAGATCTAATATTTATTATAGTCCAAAGTTAATTTTCATAATTATACCAGATGTCTTTTTTGTGCAGCCCACCATTCATCTCCTTCATATCATCTTTTTCGGTGATTTTTTTTTTTTTTTTTTTTCAACTTGTTGAAAGATTAATAGTAAGTTATCAGATTGATAAATTTAAAAGAGTTAATAGCATTAATGCTCCTAATGTATGATATCATACATTAGGAGTTAAATACAATTAAAACAAATATATCCTTGTTGTTAATGAACTGTTAATAAACCGTTGAAATTTACACTATTATGAATTAGTGGATATTATCAAATTGCCTTTATTTTAACAATCAAAATTTAATGACAAGGGGACTTAAACTACAGAGGGGTCTATTAGATTCAAAGGGGTCTATCCTTATAGTTGAAACTACAGGATCTGGAACTAGATCAAAACCCCAAGGAGGTATATACAATTATCTCATTTTTTGTCTGAAAGGAATATTTTACATACATATTCTTAAATTTACAAAACCATTTTCAGTAAGTAGTCTTTTCCTATATATTTCTTGTAAATCAAAATTTTCTATGGTAATATTTTTGGTAGCATTAAAAAGCATTAAAACTTAAAACCAAACAAAAAAAAAAAAAAATTTGATTAGTTTATTAAATCGATCTTATCGTGAATTAAACTTTTCTTCTAAGAACCATCTACAAGTGTTTTTAATAAAAGCCTTTGCTACAGAAAATATATTTACTTGTAAGTTTTTAAATACAATTCTAGTGTTTACATATAGATTGATAACTATTAATTGGGAACTTCTAACATCATATATTTCATTTCGTAGTTAGTTGTATCATTTCAGACAAATTCTTTAATCGATTTTTTCATGTATTTTGAATGAACATTTTCAACTGCCACTAACATGAGTTAAAAATGAATTGTAAGATTTTCTATTATCTCCCTTGAGAAGCTACTTCCATAGTGTTTCCCCAATTCCCATGTAAGTTTTATTTATTTATTTATTATTTTTTTTTTCTTTTGGCTAAAAATTACATCTATTGCAAGCTTTAATTATTTTTTTAATCTACTAATCGAAAAAAAAAAAAAAAAATTGTATATTGTTCTAGCTAGTATTCATTACGAGTATCGCATTTTCAAAACAATAAAATATTGGAGGAAACTATCTAATTACTAACAAATAGATCAAACTTAACTTTATTGTTTTATTGAATTTAAATATTTAAAAGTTTAGCTAATAATATTATTTATATTAAATATAATTTATTAGATCAACCGTACTTTGGTTTAACATTCTTACACATTATTGGTCTGTATCATTAACTCATAATGTTAATGATATTAGATAAACTTCACCCCTAATTAAGGCAACAAGAAATATAAAACTTTGTAATACTTTGTTAGAGTCTCACACCGACTAAACACGTTCAAACTTACTGGGTTATAAGAGGGGATAATCATCCTATTCAATAAGGCCTTATTGGGTAAGAAGTCAGACTCATCTCAAATTCTATCATAGTATCATAGTATCAGAGTTCAGGTTCAGTTGAGTTGAGTGTGTGTCCAACTGGTGAGGAGTTAAGGTCAGTAATTATCTCCATCAATAGACATGTTAGAGTTTCGCACCGATTAGACACGCTCAAGCCTATTGGGTTATAAGATGAGGTGATCCTCCAATTCAAAAAAGTCTTATTAAATGAGGAGTCAGACCCATCTCAAATTCTATCAATCTTTATAATATCTAAGTTTTAATTTAAAACATCGAAGTTTTTGTTGATTACTAACGCATTAATCATCAAATATAGCCAACATTTACAAGCCATAGATCATATTAATCTACTGAGATTTTCTTATAAAAATCGTAAAAGCTAACGTTATCCTTTATAGTATAGTATTATAATCCAGAATTCGCATCTTGAGATATCTAAAATAAACGAAACACAATGTCTAAGACGAGTTGTGTGCATCCATGGATGTATTGTCGCTGTGCACTAGAGAATTATGGACTTCATCAACACGATCATCATCAGTTGCAGCTGCATTGCCTTGAGGACTGATTGTTACAGGATTTGCCATCGACTCTACTTCATCAAAACGTTTTATCAAGTAACTGATTTTCGACCAAAATGATGTCTCTGGGTTGTTGTCCTCGACAGGCCAGTGTGAATGAACAAAGTAGAAAATATAAGTCAGAAGAGAACACATGGAAGCTACTCCTGTGATGATGAAGAGGCCCCCGAAGCTGTACAAGCTAAGACTGTCTGAAGATGCTATGGTTGTGGCATCTTGAGCTTCACAATTAGTTTTTGATACACCCAAAGTTTTTTCAATTTCTTTCAGTTTATATTTATCTTGAGTAACGTTCAGGATTGCCCTTGAGATGTCAGAAACCAATGGTGATCCTTGTGGAAAGGCCTGAAACAATTAATGAAGCAACAATATATATATGCACAGAACATAGAAACTAAAATGATTTAAAGCCAATGCCAATTTAATAAGATCATTTTTTAACTCTATTATCTTCTCAGAAGATACGAGATCATACAAAAGCAACGATTTAGCGAACAAACACGGAGATTCCTAATGATTAGTCCATTTTTTCCATACACATTCACATTTTGTTAATCTCGTTAGATGATACCAAAAAACTGTTAAGATGGTGTTAATTAATAGACAAAGGCTTAGTTAAATTTTTTTTTCATGGAATGCTGTTAAATTTTGGTTTTAACGACACTAATATATAAAAGGTGCTTATTTTAAAGAAACACAGACATCGCTCGAACACTCATATATAAACTCTTGATGATAATCTTCAATTTATTTAAATGGTTAATTATATATATATTATGTTATGAAGCAGGTTAATAACCTAGAACTAGAGATAAATTATAAATCATATAACTTATAATGATAACGGAGAGAGACTCACAAAGCCTAATCCGCCGGTTCTGTAGGTTGGTCCAACCATCATGTATTTGGAGCAGTAGTTTGCCTTTTCCAAGAAGAGCTTTATGAAGGGAATTTCATCGAAAATTGCAGCTACCGACTGGTTAGACAATGCTTCATCATAATCCTTTGGATATTCATAACCCTTCAAATTGGATTCATTTAAGTTGAGTTGATTTATCAAGAAATCTTTCACAAAAGAATCCTTCGGGTACCCAACCAAGTAACCGCGTGCTCGAATCTCCTTAACATCATCAAACGAAGGCCGCAGCCGCTGTACTGTTAGCATTGAAGTCAAGCTCGCCGTGTAACTTTGTGTCAAAATAAGCACCACAAAAATCCATATTATCAGGACGAATTTGGACAAGTTGTTCTTCAATCTCTCCCCTGGAATCACAAAGTTTCTGTCTCTATAATTGAGCATTAAAAAAACTTGCATTGATTATATTAATAGTTAAGTAGTAATTGTGTTTACTGTGAGCAAAGACGAGTGTTGAGAAGGAGAACCAAAGTGTTTTGCCGAGTTGATGCTTTATGGGGCCTCTGAATTCTGTGTTTGTTCGGTGTTCAAGAACCCAGACAACAAATCCTGTGACGGCGAAGCCTATTGCAGATGTTAGCCAAAGATTCCAATTCAGTGGCTTTAAGAATATCCAGAAGTTTTTATTCTCATCTTTCACCAAAACCACCATTGACACGCCTGATTCTGAATAAGGCAATGTGAAATCAACATACGTTGAGCGAGCAGCAACGATTGTTATGTCGCCCACCACAGCATCATACTTCTGCAAAACATATCTTATATGATTACTGTCAGCAGTTATATGGAGATTTAAACATTAGATCTTTGTCTCTCATGTTATGTTAAGTTGTTATTTCACTTAAAAATTTAAACCAGTAGATAATGAATCAACATTATATTAGTCTAATAATTACAAATAAATCGATTAAGTTAAACTAAATGATGAGTTGAAGTTATTGTATGTATAGAACTCACCTTGTTTGTGAGATTGTGAAGAAGTTCATTGTAAGTCCCAGCACTCTGGTGATTCTTCTCGAAAGGAACAAACTCATACGGGAGGGGAAACTCTAAAACTTTGATTACTTCTTTGAACACTTCTATGGAAAACCCTGAAATTTGACTTGTATTGTTAGGTGGTTTCCATTCCACTTTAACATATTCATTAAAACCATTTCTAACTGGAACCCCGATCTTCAATTTCTTCGGCGGATCCTTGGTGTTTCCCGGCCACGTTGGCTGCTTGCGTTTGTTCTTGAAAGTTGAGTTCATTCCAGCTTTATCATTGCAATTCAAATCTTGAATTGGTGCAATATCTTCTCTCCAGCAGCCTATAATGTTCTCCTTCTTTCCAAATACATTGAATATTTCAAAGACTGAAGGCGTCCGTTGTCCCTCAACCAAAGTAAAGTTCCCACTTACGCCTTCAAATTTTGTGTTCAACAATGTGTTAAAAAGTTTTCTACCCCTGTCAAATCTTCCAATTTCTTCAAAATCAACACCAACAATCTTGCTTGTATTTGGCTTTAAGTAGCCAGAATGTGCTGTGCCGGCCTCCTCCACCGCCATTGCTACTGCCCAAACTGTGTCATATGCCCACTTTCCGAAAATATTGACACTTCTCCACTTTAATTTGGGTAATTGTGTCCTTAAACCCAATACACCTTCCATTGAGTTCATGGCTGCGGGACCAACAGGATCTAACAAAGTTGATAGCCCTTCTGTGACAATCCACACAAATCCTTCCTTCATCATTCCTATTTTGTTTGCTTGTAAAAAGAGCTTGAACCCCAAGGAAGCAGTCATATGCACCAGAAAAATCGTTGTTTGTTTGGACTTGAGATTCATGAGCTCGTTGAAAATCTCAGTGTCATTAGATTTTGGTGAAATGACACTTGCATAGGGCACTCGAGTGTTGACCTCTTGAAAGGCATCCATGAGATATGGAATCAAACCGTTGCCGTATTCTGAATCTTCATGAATAGGGATGACATTATTCCAGCCGTAAGCTTTAACGATGGCTGCGACGGCTTTCACTTGAAAGGAGTCGTCATGGGTTGTACGAATGAAGAAATTAGTGTTGGTTGGAGAAAGAGAGGGACTTGTGGCTGAAAATGAGATGATTGGAACATTTGCTTTTGCTCCCAATTCTATCACAAACTTAGCTTGGGAAGAAGTTTGAGGTCCTATGATGGCATGCACTTGTTCATTCTTCATCAAATCTAAAGCTGCAATTTTTTATAAGCGTAATTAACGAATTGGCGAAGGATAACAAAAAACTAAGTCACAGTAGAGAAGTTTCAATATGATGTTTTGATCTTGGAAGGAGACACATTTTTATATAAATGGTGTTAGTTAAAATTAAGTATCCTTTGAAGACATTTCCTGTACACGAAATGGTGTGAATTTGAATTTTGATGATATGGTAGAAAATGAAGTCTAAATGAATGGGGTGTAAAAAAATTAACCTACAAAATGAAAGTGCCTTTTACACACTTCCAAGAACTTGTGAAGACAAATAATTCTTGAAGAAAATACTTGAAAATATGTACAGGGAAATTGGGATTTTATTAAATAGAAAATATGTGAATATATACATGTTAAAACAAACCATATAGAAAAGAAATTCTATGTTTCAAGACACATCTATTAATATAGGCTTTGATGGGATTACAGTACACATGAAAATATGAAGATAAAAACTAAAATAAAATCTGCTAACAATATTAATTTTAAGATATATTCCTAGATAATAAAGAAACAACAAAAGTATTATAACTTTTACGAGGAATTTCGTAAATGTTACCTTCAGATGCAGCAACAACAGTATCATTTTCAGAGTCCCTGAAGACGAGAGAGAGTTTTGTTTGATAAATAGTGTACTTGGCATAGAAGTCGCGGCATGCCTGTTTTATAAATCTCTTAGCTATTTTTCCTACCGGGGATTTCAAATTTAGAACTACGCCCACTCGTACTTCATCTTTTGATGCTGACGTGTACTCACCACAAACAGTGAAGAAGAAGAGGAGGAGGAGGAGGAGGAAGGGTTTCAGTTTCGCCATTGTTGAATCTCGAGGCACACACCTTACGTACACTTGAGTTCTGTCTATAAATTGAAGTTTTCAAACCACGTGAAATGTTTGTGTACATTTCCGTTGATTTGATACTTCAAGGAAGCTGATTGGAGTTTAAATAAGCCAACATTGTCAGATTTGGAATATTATATATATATATATATATATATATATCATAATTATTGAAATGAATGTGAAAAATTTATGCACCGAATGACGTAACATAATCAATTAATTATGAATTAATATTGATCAACGGTCATAATTATGTTATGTTATTCAGTGTATAAATTTGGTATGCTCCTTTCGATAACTATATTAGTTTTTTATATACTATATTATTTACGACATAAAATGTTCGAACTAGTTTATACATAGTTCAACTAATCTTTGAAGACCTTAAAATTATCGATGGATAATCCAGGTCCAGGTCTTTTGAATGCTAGAAATACCTCCTTCAAACTATTAACCGTTAATTAAATTCTAACTCTAAAACTATATTTTTTTTTAATGCAGAAATGAGTGAATCAAGGGTGAACTACTTATTCTACCCTTATACGTACGACTAAATTACCCTTTTTATCCTTACATGAGTTAACACCTACTAGAATAAGGTGGTGTATCTAATAATTTAAGCGGTAAGATTTGGCCCACTAGACACAAGCCCGGGGGGGTAATATAATCATCTCCCCGCGGTTACACAGATTTACTACTTAGAATTTTAAGTGTAAAGACTAATGGAATTGCGTTTCTTTTTTTTATTTTTTTTTTATTTACTGATTTAATTTCAATCACACAGACAGAATCTTCCTTCATGAAATTGACTAGAGATAATAGCTTAATTTTATTATTTATCATATTTATTATTTTCACGCGGTAATGACTGGACCATCTTCCTGAATTAACAAGAGAACAAATAATTTCATTATGTAGACCCCACGGATTCAAAATCAACACCAACAATCTTGCTTGTATTTGGCTTTAAGTAGCCAGAATGTGCTGTGCCGGCCTCCTCCACCGCCATTGCTACTGCCCAAACTGTGTCATATGCCCACTTGCCGAAAATATTGACACTTCTCCACTTTGATTTGGGTAATTGTGTCCTTAAACCCAATACGCCTTCCATTGAGTTCATGGCTGCGGAACCAACAGGATCTAACAAATTTGATAGCCCTTCTGTGACAATCCACACAAATCCTTCCTTCATCATTCCTATTTTGTTTGCTTGTAAAAAGAGCTTGAACCCCAAGGAAGCAGTCATATGCACCAGGAAAATCGTTGTTTGTTTGGACTTGAGATTCATGAGCTCGTTGGAAATCTCAGTGTCATTAGATTTTAGTGAAATGACACTCGCATAAGGCACTCGAGTGTTGACCTCTTGAAAGGCATCCATAAGATATGGAATCAAACCGTTGCCGTATTCTGAATCTTCATGAATAGTGATGACATTCTTCCAGCCGTAAGCTTTAACGATGGCTGCGAGGGCTTTAACTTGAAAGGAGTCGTCATGGGTTGTACGAATGAAGAAATTAGCGTTGGTTGGAGAAAGACAGGGACTTGTGGCTGAAAATGAGATGATTGGAACATTTGCTTTTGCTCCCAATTCTATCACAAACTTAGCTTGGGATGAAGTTTGAGGTCCTATGATGGCATGCACTTGTTCATTCTTCATCAAATCTAAAGCTGCAATTTTTTATAAGCGTAATTAACGAATTGGCGAAGGATAACAAAAAACTAAGTCACAGTAGAGAAGTTTCAATATGATGTTTTGATCTTGGAAGGAGACACATTTTTATATAAATGGTGTTAGTTAAAATTAAGTATCCTTTGAAGACATTTCCTGTACACGAAATGGTGTGAATTTGAATTTTGATGATATGGTAGAAAATGAAGTCTAAATGAATGGGGTGTAAAAAAATTAACCTACAAAATGAAAGTGCCTTTTACACACTTCCAAGAACTTGTGAAGACAAATAATTCTTGAAGAAAATACTTGAAAATATGTACAGGGAAATTGGGATTTTATTAAATAGAAAATATGTGAATATATACATGTTAAAACAAACCATATAGAAAATAAATTCTATGTTTCAAGACACATCTATTAATATAGGCTTTGATGGGATTACAGTACACATGAAAATATGAAGATAAAAACTAAAATAAAATCTGCTAACAATATTAATTTTAAGATATATTCCTAGATAATAAAGAAACAACAAAAGTATTATAACTTTTACGAGGAATTTCGTAAATGTTACCTTCAGATGCAGCAACAACAGTATCATTTTCAGAGTCCCTGAAGACGAGAGAGAGTTTTGTTTGATAATTAGTGTACTTGGCATAGAAGTCGCGGCATGCCTGTTTTATAAATCTCTTAGCTATTTTTCCTACCGGGGATTTCAAATTTAGAACTACGCCCACTCGTACTTCATCTTTTGATGCTGACGTGTACTCACCACAAACAGTGAAGAAGAAGAGGAGGAGGAGGAGGAGGAAGGGTTTCAGTTTCGCCATTGTTGAATCTCGAGGCACACACCTTACGTACACTTGAGTTCTGTCTATAAATTGAAGTTTTCAAACCACGTGAAATGTATGTGTACATTTCCGTTGATTTGACACTTCAAGGAAGCTGATTGGAGTCTAAATAAGTCAACATTATCAGATTTGGAATATATATATAATATCATAATTATTTATGCATTGATAACATAACCGATTAATTATGAATTAATATTAATCGATGGTTATGATTGTACTACGTTATTCAGTATATGAATAACGTACGCTCCTTTCGATAACTGTATTAGTTTTTTATATACTATATTATTTACGACATAAAGTGTTCGAACTAGTTTATACATAGTTCAACTAATCTTTGAAGACCTTAAAATTATCGATGGGTAATCAAGGTCCAGGTCTTTTGAATGCTAGAAATACCTCCTTCAAACTATTAACCGTTAATTAAATTCTAACTCTAAAACTATATTTTTTTTTAATGTAGAAAGGAGTGAATCAAGGGTGAACTACTTATTCTACCCTTATATGTACGAGTAAATTACCCTTTTAATCCTTACATGAGTTAACACCTACTAGAATAAGGTGGTGTATCTAATAATTTAAGCGGTAAGATTTGGCCTACTAGACACAAGCCCGGGGGGGTAATATAATCATCTCCCCGCGGTTACACAGATTTACTACTTAGAATTTTAAGTGTAAAGACTAATGGAATTGCGTTTCTTTTTTTTATTTTTTTTTTATTTACTGATTTAATTTCAATCACACAGACAGAATCTTCCTTCATGAAATTGACTAGAGATAATAGCTTAATTTTATTATTTATCATATTTATGATTTTCACGCGGTAATGACTGGACCATCTTCCTGAATTAATAAGAGAACAAATAATTTCATTATGTAGACCCCACGGAATAATTACTTGCAGGAGTCAATTAATAGTATAAAATACATGTACCAAAGAGAGTATAATATACATATGAATTAGTACACCACTATGTACTTATGTAGTTGGATAAAGATTTTTAGGTTTATTAACTAAGAGGTTTTTAGTTCGAGTTCATCCTAGATTACTAATAGGGTAGTCATTAAAGTTTTTATCTAACAGAAAGTTCAATCGTCCTCAAAAATTAGTTGAGATACGTGTAAATTGATCCTCGATTAAAAAAAAAAAAATTGAGAACTTTATGTTGGAATTGGACTAGTGTTTTTATTCTTTGTTTTTCTTAATTTTTAGTATCAAGATTCATATATTTATTAAAGTTGTAAAAATAAATTAAAAGATTTAACTACAAATAAATATATGATAATTGAGCACAAGAAAATGGTGATGATAGCCGTTTAAAATATTCAATATTTGGAAAGTAGTAAAATGTTTAAAGATAATCAATTTCTTTGCTATAATAATTGCGGGAAAAAGACTTAAATAAATCGTCATTGCATGACCTGATTTTAAAAGAACAAAAGAGAATCTACCACCCTCTCCCTTTGACAGTAAAAGGGAAAAAAACGAATCACACTTGCTCTCCTTAATAGTAAAAGTAAAAGAAGAAGAGCAACGGGAAGCTCTTACTCTTACCCCTGTCTGTAGTTCCCGGGTTTTCAGGTCCTGCGTGTAAGCAAGCTACCCGGAAACCATAGTCATTAAAAAAGAGAGAGAGAGAGAGAGAAGATAACTTAAGACGTCCTCTGTAAGAATGGATAAATTATCAAGTTCAATATCTGCGATACTCTTTCAAAAAATAAATACATGATTGAAAAATGAATCCATAACCAAACAGGACGAAATAATGGTATAAAGATAAGTTTTTATTTTCAGAACACAGACAATGAAAATGTCTAAAGCCTTGCTGGAATTTATTTTCTCTTTGATTAAAGGTCTTTGTCAGAAGCCAAGAATTACATAAAAGTCAGAAACCCCGTTGTTAATCTGATGAACAACGTAATAGAAAAGTCTCTTCCACTTCTTCCTTCCCATATAGGTGACTTTGACGCCAGTCGAGTGGACCAACAAATTTCCGAACTTTTTTTCTTATTGCATTTAATGCTGAGTTTTGGAGATCAATCTGCAGTGGCAGCTTCCTGGAATGAACACTGACACGCTCACATGAGTCCTGAATATACGAAACTGTAAACAACAACGCTGAAACAAGAGGCATTTACGTCAATGGCAAGCCTTATGAAGATGAAGGACTACTTGTTCTTGTTGTCGTTTATTTTGGTGATGAGATGCGTTTCATGTGAGCAATACTCAGCTTCAAATCATACGGTGAAAGTGGGTGTGATTCTGGATTTGAATTCCAGTGTGGGAAGAACAGCCTATTGCTTTATACGAGCGGCAAGCTCCGACTTCTACGCCAAGCACGCTGATTATCGAACCAGACTCTACTTTCTTTTCAGGGATTCTCGGAATGATGTTGTGGCTGCAGCTTCTGCCGGTAACTTTTCAAACACTCACTTTATCAAATTATGCCTATGAAGGCCCCTGGCCAACCACTTTCCCCTAATCTTTCTTTTCCCGGAAAATATGTGTTACAAAAAGATAAATATAGCTCTTGATAGTCTTGTGACTCTTCTTCTTTCATAGTGAAAATCTGTATCGACAAAAATAAATATAGCTCTCATATTGAGAGCGACCAACTCTAAATCTGAGTGGTTCACTCTCAATTTGTATGTATATTGTTTGCTTGATTATTGGAGTTCTTTTTCAGCTTTATTTGTTATTACTCTCTTAGGGATTAAGGCTTTTAAATCTCAAAATCTGTAAGTTCTGTTATTTACTTATGATGAATTACCATGTCTGTTAATTGGGAGAATTCTTTAGTCTCTTTGCTTGGTTTCTTCAAATACATACTAAGATTCAAGAAATTGATGCATGCAGCTTTAGATTTGATGAAGAATGAACAAGTGCACGCCATCATAGGACCTCAAAGCTCATCCCAAGCTCAGTTTGTGATAGAACTGGGAACAAAAGCAAATGTTCCAATCATCTCATTTTCAGCCACAAGTCCCTTTCTTTCTCTATCTGATCAGACTGATTTCTTCATTCGCACAACCCATGATGACTCCTTTCAAGTGAAAGCCATCGCAGACATTGTTATTGCTTATGGTTGGAGGGCTGTTATCCCAATCTATGAAGATACAGATTTTGGCAATGGCTTGATTCCATATCTCATTAATGCCTTTCAAGAGGCTAACATTTTAATGCCCAATAGAAGTTCCATTTCGCCACACTCTAATGGCAGCCAAATTTTGAAGGAGCTCCAAATGCTTAAAACCATGCAAACCAAGATTTTCCTGGTGCACATGACTGCTTCGCTAGGGTCCAAGCTCTTTGTACAAGCGAAGAAAGCTGGAATGATGAAGGAAGGATATGCGTGGATCGTCACCGAAGGACTATCGACTTTGTTTGATCCTGTAGTTTCCAAAAGCATGCATTCAATGGAAGGTGTTTTGGGTCTAAGGACACAATTACCCAACTCAATGAAGAAATTTAAACATTCCAAATCGAAATGGATGAAGTTATATAAGCCAAATGGTTCGATAAGTATCGAAAACGTATTCGGAATGTGGGGATATGACACAGTTTGGGCGATAGCAATGGCAGTGGAGAAGGCTGGCACAGCACATTCAATCTACTTAAAGCCAAATACAAGCGAGATTAGAGTTGATATTGCAGGCTTAGGAAGATTTGAAATGGGTCAAAAGCTTCTTAACACATTGCAAAATACAAGATTTGAAGGCCTAAGTGGAACCTTTGGTTTGGTTGAAGGACAACTGAAGCCTTCAGTCTTTGAAATATTCAATGTGGTAGGAGAACATGAGAGAATTATTGGATACTGGAGCCAGAAGAAAGGACTTCACAGAGATTTGGAAAGCAAAGAAGTGAAATCAACTTCCATGGATGTACTCAAGCCGCCAATCTGGCCAGGAGACACCACAAATGTTCCAAAGAACTTGAGAATCGGTGTTCCAGTGAAAGAAGGTTTTACTGAGTTCGTTAAAGTGGAGTGGCAATCGAATAACAATATGACTACACTTTCGGGTTTCTCCATAGAAGTGTTCAAAGAAGTTCTGGCCGTTTTAGAATTTGCCCTCTCCTACGAGTTTGTTCCTTTCCATAAAAATCACAAGAGCGCTGGCTCTTATGATGAACTTATTTACAAGATCAAAGAGAAGGTGAGTTTTAGTTAATAGTTCTGATCGATTTTAAATCAAAACGTTTGTAACAGAGAATGAGTAATTACATTTTATCAACGTATTTGTTTCAGGAATTCGATGCTGTGGTGGGAGACACGACAATTGTGGCTAATCGATCAAAAGATGTTGATTTTACAATGCCTTATTCAGAATCTGGTGTGAGGATGGTAGTTTTGGTGAAAGATAATGAGAAAAAAAACTTTTGGATATTCTTAAAGCCATTAAGTTGGAAACTTTGGTTAACGACTGGCTTAGGCCTTATCTTTACAGGCTTCGTTGTATGGGTTCTTGAACACCGTATAAACACAGAATTTAGAGGCTCCAAACAAGACCAACTTGGCACCATTTTTTGGTTCTCCTTCTCCACACTNAATCTCAAAATCTGTAAGTTCTGTTATTTACTTATGATGAATTACCATGTCTGTTAATTGGGAGAATTCTTCAGTCTCTTTGCTTGGTTTCTTCAAATACATACTAAGATTCAAGAAATTGATGCATGCAGCTTTAGATTTGATGAAGAATGAACAAGTGCACGCCATCATAGGACCTCAAAGCTCATCCCAAGCTAAGTTTGTGATAGAACTGGGAACAAAAGCAAATGTTCCAATCATCTCATTTTCAGCCACAAGTCCCTTTCTTTCTCTATCTGATCAGACTGATTTCTTCATTCGCACAACCCATGATGACTCCTTTCAAGTGAAAGCCATCGCAGACATTGTTATTGCTTATGGTTGGAGGGCTGTTATCCCAATCTATGAAGATACAGATTTTGGCAATGGCTTGATTCCATATCTCATTAATGCCTTTCAAGAGGCTAACATTTTAATGCCCAATAGAAGTTCCATTTCGCCACACTCTAATGGCAGCCAAATTTTGAAGGAGCTCCAAATGCTTAAAACCATGCAAACCAAGATTTTCCTGGTGCACATGACTGCTTCGCTAGGGTCCAAGCTCTTTGTACAAGCGAAGAAAGCTGGAATGATGAAGGAAGGATATGCGTGGATCGTCACCGAAGGACTATCGACTTTGTTTGATCCTGTAGTTTCCAAAAGCATGCATTCAATGGAAGGTGTTTTGGGTCTAAGGACACAATTACCCAACTCAATGAAGAAATTTAAACATTCCAAATCGAAATGGATGAAGTTATATAAGCCAAATGGTTCGATAAGTATCGAAAACGTATTCGGAATGTGGGGATATGACACAGTTTGGGCGATAGCAATGGCAGTGGAGAAGGCTGGCACAGCACATTCAATCTACTTAAAGCCAAATACAAGCGAGATTAGAGTTGATATTGCAGGCTTAGGAAGATTTGAAATGGGTCAAAAGCTTCTTAACACATTGCAAAATACAAGATTTGAAGGCCTAAGTGGAACCTTTGGTTTGGTTGAAGGACAACTGAAGCCTTCAGTCTTTGAAATATTCAATGTGGTAGGAGAACATGAGAGAATTATTGGATACTGGAGCCAGAAGAAAGGACTTCACAGAGATTTGGAAAGCAAAGAAGTGAAATCAACTTCCATGGATGTACTCAAGCCGCCAATCTGGCCAGGAGACACCACAAATGTTCCAAAGAACTTGAGAATCGGTGTTCCAGTGAAAGAAGGTTTTACTGAGTTCGTTAAAGTGGAGTGGCAATCGAATAACAATATGACTACACTTTCGGGTTTCTCCATAGAAGTGTTCAAAGAAGTTCTGGCCGTTTTAGAATTTGCCCTCTCCTACGAGTTTGTTCCTTTCCATAAAAATCACAAGAGCGCTGGCTCTTATGATGAACTTATTTACAAGATCAAAGAGAAGGTGAGTTTTAGTTAATAGTTCTGATCGATTTTAAATCAAAACGTTTGTAACAGAGAATGAGTAATTACATTTTATCAACGTATTTGTTTCAGGAATTCGATGCTGTGGTGGGAGACACGACAATTGTGGCTAATCGATCAAAAGATGTTGATTTTACAATGCCTTATTCAGAATCTGGTGTGAGGATGGTAGTTTTGGTGAAAGATAATGAGAAAAAAAACTTTTGGATATTCTTAAAGCCATTAAGTTGGAAACTTTGGTTAACGACTGGCTTAGGCCTTATCTTTACAGGCTTCGTTGTATGGGTTCTTGAACACCGTATAAACACAGAATTTAGAGGCTCCAAACAAGACCAACTTGGCACCATTTTTTGGTTCTCCTTCTCCACACTTGTCTTTGCTCACAGTAATGCATCTCATACCTTATATAGAAATAATTTTTATAGTTTGTAAAAGCTTGTTTAATTACAATAACATTTTTTTTTTCTTTTTTTTTTTTTTTTTGGGTGTGTAATTACAGGGGAGAGGGTGCTGAACAACTGGTCTAGATTTGTGTTGATAATATGGGTTTTTGTGGTGCTTATTTTGACACAAAGTTACACTGCAAACTTAACTTCAATGTTAACAGTGCAGCGTTTGCAGCCTTCATTTGCTAATGTTGAAGAGATCCGGAAACTTGGTTACTCGGTGGGATACCAGAATGATTCTTTTGTGAAGGATCTCTTAGCTAAACAATTGAAATTTAACGAATCCAATTTGTGGAGTTATCGCACCCCAGAAGAGTTTGATAAAGCATTGTCTAGTGGAACTGTTGCTGCAATTTTTGATGAAATTCCCTACATAAATGTCTTTCTTGCTCAGTACTGTTCCAGATACATGATGATCGGACCAACATACGAAACTGACGGATTTGGCTTTGTAAGTTGTCTCTGTTAAAATTAATGTGGAAAGAATCCGTTGTTTAGTCCTATTATTTTGGTTGCTGAGTATTATTTTTTCGCATTGATGATGAATCTCTTAAAATTCTTTTAGCTGAGAGATTATGTTCGGATTGAAGTATCTGATGAACATGAAACCTATTGTTTCTTACTTCAGGCGTTTCCACTAGGATCTCCACTGGTCTCTAACATCTCAAGGGCAATACTGAACGTTACTCAAGATAAAGATAAAATGGAGGCCATTGAAAAGAAGACTTTAGGAACAATAGCCAACTGTGAAGGTCACGGTGACACTGCCAAAATACCTTCTAGTACTACTGATCTCAGCGTGCACAGCTTCGGAGGTCCATTCATCATCACAGGAGCAGCTTCCATATTTTCGGTCTTCATATATATATTTTACGTTGTTTCTTCACACTGGCCTGAAGACTCAAACAGATCCTTTTGGTCAAAAGTTAATTATTTGAAAAAGCTTTTCGACACAAAAGATGATAATCCCACCTTCCAAAATTTGCAGCGAAGCGAATCCAGGGTTCATCCTGTAGCAATTCCGGAGGGAAATGATGCTTCACCTGATCATGATACTGATGATATGCAGAACCATCCAAGAATGGGTTCTGATTCCGGAGAAGAAGATGTTGAAGCTGGTAATGAGCATGATGATGAAGTTCATTCTTCAGTGGATAGTGATACACCTATGTTTGTTCCACAGTTCCCATCTTAGACACAAAATTAACACTTGATTTTTAATGTGTTATCATTTCCCTGAACATGATGTGAATTGACATGAATTTCAAAGGATCTTGGTATTGGACTGGTGTATCATAAAATTAGGATCATGTAATGTTATACCAGAAGGTGGAGTTCATTTTGAGTACCGTGCCGTTATTTTTTTATGTACTCCTGACCATGATTTCGATAAATTGCAAATTAACTAACAGAATCCCGGCGGTTTGTTACCGGATTCTGGCCGCTGGTTAGGCCAGCCCTGTTTTCATTTTTTTTTAAATATTGAATCAAATACTTTTATTTAATAAAAAGTTTTAAATTGTTTTGTAATATTTATTAAATACATATTAAAATATATTTATGATTGTAGAAATTTTTTTTGAGTAAAATATATCATTTTTGTCATTAACACGTAAAAAACAATTTGCAATTTAAATTTAGTTACTACTATATAATTTTAGAAATCAAAAGCAACTTTAAGATATGATTTGTCAAATACATTTCAAATTATTTTTAAAGTTCGAAAAAGCTTTTAAATAAAGCTACAACAATTCCAACTAACCTTAATTGCTTTTTAGATTTAGGATTTATTTATCCTTGCCAACAACAATATTTGGGAAACAATAAATAATGGCTGCAGGTGCCATCTTGTGAGAGCAAACCACATATCTACCACAATAAACTCTCCTAAGTAATTTAGGATTAACTTTTAATATAATTTTTATTTTAGGTTTGTTATATTATGATACTTTATTATAAAATGGTCATGCATCTTCATGGTAGTTATGACATATTGGAGGAAATTATTTAAAAACATTGTTAAATGGGATGAACACAATTAAGTATAATAAAATCTTTAGTTGGGCTTCATCACATTTGGAACATTTTGTAATTCCTTAGGCTTCAAATCACTTGCGCTTTTATTATAATTTTTTTTTTTCAAACACATTTAAAACATTAAAAGAATCATTTAAATAAATTGTTTTATCTACTTCTTCTAAAATTCAATTAAATCCACTCAACTTAAAAAAAAAAAAAAAAAAAAAAGTCCTTATATATTATGAAATTTACAATTTTGATCTCACAAAATTTCGAATTGATTACACCTTTTTATTTTTTTTTTTTTTTCATTTCCATCTTTTTCTCTCTCATATTTTTTCTTCATTTGATTGGATTATTAAAAAATATACTATTCCTTTGGAGGTTAAAGATAAGATAATTCTCATTTTATTTTTTTTTTTTAAAATTCTTTTCTTTTAGTTTTCTTAATTGTAAAAGATCATGAGTTATAAGTTTTTTTATAGTTTAATAAGGATTTGAAATTAGAAGATTTTGATGTAGGTTTTGATTAATCTTTTTTATTTGAGGTATGAGTTAATCAACTGTTGTTTTAAGTTGGGTTTGTAAATTTTGGTTCATTATTAAGTTAATTTTGAATAGGTTTAAAAAATTGATGAACTCTAAGTTATAGAGATTTTGATATCTTATTTATTTTAATATATTGGTTATTGTTTGATATTTAGAATTGGATTTGATAAGTTTTCATGGATTTATAAGTTGGATTTTTTTTTTTCATTAACTTCAACCAATTCAATTCGATTTATAATATGACATTATCCAACCTAGAGATATCGATTTGGATACGAGTCAGAATATAAGAAAGACACCATCATAACTTGCCAATGTATGTATTCTTAAGAGTACAATTTTTTAATTAAATGGTTAAATGCAAAAAATCTTCGTCAGAACTCATTATTTTTAGGTTATTCACCTGTCTTTTTATTATCTTCTATATAAAACATACTTTGTTATTAGAAAAGTTTTTAAAGGAATTAAAAAAAAAAAAAAGTTGCCACAAGATGGTAAGCCCCGTTCAGTTGGTTGATAGAACACCATGTGATAACTGTGCTATCGGCCAAGTGACCTTGAAAGAAATTCAACGGCTCCACACGTGTCTCAGCCGCTCACACAAGTGAGAGAACTTCTTTCATGGATTTCTCGTTTTCGAGACTGCATCTCTGCAGGAGAAGGCCCGGGACTTTCGCCGGATCAATGAATTGATCCAGGCCCACTCACATCTCTTGTGCACCATTACCTGTTGTTCCCCTTATTTAATTCCCCAATTGCCCATATTAACTGACCGATGTGGGATTAGGGACATAATACTTATAAGACGCAAAGAAGTTGATCGTTATTTATCTATATTTATTTAATTGTTTTAAAGTTTGTAATGATTGAATTTCATATTTCATTATCTTTTTAGGATTAAGACTTTCAGAATTTTAAGTGGTTTAAGATTTGATTTCATAAGTTATTGAGTTGTGAATGTTGACAAAGCATTCTTTCAATGATTTGTATGAAATTTTAATTTTAGGCTTGATAAACACATCTTTAAGTTACCCTTTGCCATGGCCAAATCTGGTTTTTCTTCCAGATTTTGCCGGAAAACTAGTCACAGTCACAACCATTTTTTACCATCCCATATCTCATAATTTACAGTAAATTAAAAAATACTGAAACTGAATAAGGCAATTAAGACTAAACAATCACAGAAGTTTCAGTTTCTGCTATTGATAAGGAAGTATATTGCATTCTTGATCTAACTTTGATGGTTGATCGAAACGCTTACTGTTATTGAGAAATATAAAACTCAATCTAGAAGTAGATTTGTGTTAGATTTTGAGATGTATCATACTACAAAGAATGTTAGTTACGATAGCTGGCAGAGTTAATACAATTAACTTACATTAGACAAGATACCAATCTGCAGAAATCTGGAAAATGGGCTCCACAAATTTCATACCTACCTTCTTTTTAAGATAACCAGTACCAACACAAAGTGCAGATAGGACAATCGTTGTGCCTGCTTTTGCATTTCTAAATTCAGCATATGATGAAATGATGCTTCAACCAACATGGGAATTGTCTAATCTGATAATGGCATCCCTGAAATTTGCCAATATTCAAGATTATATTCCATTACTTCACAGATTTTCTTTTCTTTATCACAATTTTGCACTATTTTAATTCTTCACTTTGGCTTCAAATTCTGCCGATTTACAGTGAAAATAAAACGAAATATGTTAAGTAATGACATAACGATTCTATAATGGTGCCGACGATTTACGAGTCTTAAAAGAATATTATCATCATTACAGTTTATGCACAAAGCAGAAACTAATGAATTTCCGGTCATAAAAGTAAAACATTGAGAGAAGAATATGAATGAACTAATTGTAAATTTTCCACTGGGATTTTTTGTTTTTTTCCGAAATGAAACTGTAAAAGTAAGTAGTATTTCCCTGTACAATGCTACCTGTATTCAATTGCCCTAACCCAATTGTGTTGTGTTTCCCTATAGTCATTTTTAAAGTAAGTCATTCCTGTGATTCCTGATGAGAAGTTTCAGACTTGTTATGTACAACCTCTGAAGCAAGGCCTTTAAGCAAGTTTATGACTTCTGAAGTATCATCAAGATAATATTTTGCCATGCTCGGTTTCTGACCAACAGTGCAGGCAAAAACTTCTCCAATGGCTGGCAAGGATGGATTCGCGACAGCACGTCCAATGCTCTCAAACATATCCTCATCCGAACGATCGTCGCCAATGCACAGCACAAAATCCGGAGATTTCCCCTTGCTTTGCATTGTTGAAATCAGATTTTCTACCACTATACCTTTGCTTACTCCCTGCAATTCACCATTTTCAGTCCTCAATTCAAATGCAAATTTAGTACTTCAAATATTTCAATGTTTGCATACCTGTGGCTTGACTTCAACAATGTGCTGGCCTCTTTTGACAACCACAGGCTCATTTGCAAGGACACTCTCCAAATGATCAAGAAGCTCCTTCGCCTGGCTTGTGCCAAAATGAGGGTCAGCATCCTGGTGGTGCCACACCAGTGCAGTTTCTTTATGTTCAATGAAGGAGCCATCAGTTGTCTCAGTATATAGCTTCATCACAGGTTCTGCAATCTTCTTCCAGTCGAAATCCATCAATAACGAGCACGTCTCCCATGGAGCATCGCTAGTCCACCTACCGAAATCGAAATAAAGCATAATCAAAACAAGAAATGACAACAATGATGCACATAACCAGTGAATTAACAAGTGAAAGAATTACCTAAGGAAGTAACCATGTTCAGCTGAAATTCCCAATTTCTCACAAGGGGAAAACCATTTGCCGAGAGAATCCTTTCCTCTGCCACTGACTATGAAAACAATATTTCTGGGATCACTGCATAAATTATTCAAGATTGAGATCACCTCACTGTTTGGTGTTTTGTCAACTGAAGCCTGTGGCATCACTGTCCCATCATAGTCCAAAAGGATCAACCGGCTATTAGTCCTCTTGTATGCATCACTAATACGATGCACTCCCAGTTTTCTGAACTCCGGACCCAACGCAATAATCCTGAATCCCAATCCCAACCCGACACCCCAACACATCTTGAATGAATGATCTCTGCAAGCCCTTTCAAGGTCTTGATCGAAACTCCTAGCCCAGTAAGCAACATCATGAGAACTAATGTACTTATAATGCTTCTCGTGGCGCAATCTCTTCTCTGTCTCCGGCATTCTCAATGCTGAATCCATGGCATCAGCAACTGCATCAATATTCCACGGATTGACACGAATCGCGCCACTGAGAGATGGCGAGCAGCCAACGAATTCAGACACAATTATAACACTCTTCTTAGGAGTTGGATTCTTCTCATCAAAACCTAAAGCCTTGTCCAAAACAGGGCTACCCTGCCTACTCACAGTGTACTTATAAGGCACCAAATTCATCCCATCTCTCACACAATTCACCACACAACACTCTGCAATCGCATAATATGTAACCTTTTCTAGTGTACTAACAGGCCCTTTAATCATAACAATCGGCTCATAACCCGGTTTACCAAACTTTCTGTTAATCTCATCAGCAATAGAATTAGTTTCATCAACAACATCTTGCACATCTTTCCCACTGCTCCTCGCCGGGTTTGTAATCTGAATGAAAACAACTTTTCCTCTCAATTCAGGTTGCAGCTCCAAAAGTTGCCCCATTGCTGAAAACTTCAAACTAATCCCCTTAAACAAATCCATATCATCCACACCTAACATCACAATTTTCCCATCATATTTTTCCCTCAATTCTTTCGCCTTCTTTGCCGTCTCTTCAAGAGCCAAAACAGATTCAAGCTGCCCCATGTGAATCCCAACGGGCAA